TGGATTCTTTCCTAGCTAAGCAGGAAGGGAGAGGGAGATGGAAAATGAGGGGGAGGGAGAGGAGGAGGGAGACAGAAAGTGGGAGGGGGTAGGGGAGAGGAAGGAAAGAGGGAGGGGAGAGGAAGCGATAGGGAGGGGGAAGGGGAAGGGGGAGGGGCAGGGATCACAGTCTCAGCTGATATTTCCCTTATGTCCTTGAGAAACCCTGAGACAGAGAAGAGAGGTTAGCTGCTCAAAGATTCTTGCCCACAGCAATGATGAAATAAGAAAAATTATTCTCTTCAATAGCCACATTATAGGCACCTTGCTATATAGTAATAAACAGATAACTAATATAGCATGAACACAGGACACATAGGGGTTTACTATCTACTAGTATGAAATTGGTATGTCATTATACAGCAGACGTGTGTTCACGTCCTCCTGTATACATGATGGCTATCACTGATTGCAAAATATTTTTACCTTTTCAGGACTATTTATTTTAATTGGCAAACTAAAATAGTATATTATTACCATGCATACTATGCTGTTTTGAAATATGTATACATTTTGGAAGGGCTCAGTAAAGCTAATGAGCATATGCATTGTCTTACTGGAATTTTTGAGAGTAACTATAAATTTGATGCTTCAAGTTTACTGTTAATGATTTTCCATTTTGTTAACTACAGTCACTGTGTTGTACAACACATCTCTTGAACCCAGTCTTCCTCTAACTGAACTCTGTCCTTTGACTGACATTTCCCCCAGACTCCTACATTCCCAGTAACCACCATTCCACACTTGGCTTCTGTGAGCTCACCAGTGTAGTCTCCACATCTAAGTGAGATCATACAGTATTATTGTTCTGTTCCTATCTTATTTCACACAACATATTGTCCTTATAAATGACTGGATGCTCTTTTTAAAGGACAAATAGTACTCCACTGCACACACATATGCATGCATGAGAGCCCATACACTCACACACACACCCTGTTTTCTTTGTCCGCTTCCTGATGATGGACACTGAGGCTGATTCCATGTCTTGGTACCTGGGGATAGCGCTGCAGTGGACATGGAGGTGCTGCTGTCTCTGACACTTGAATATGTTTCCTTAGAAAGGGAATTACTGGATTATGCAGTAGTCCTATTTTGAATTTTTTGAGGAACTTGGCTAATGTTATCCATAATGGCTCTACTAATTACCTTCCTACCAACAGTGTTCAAGGGCTTTTACATCCTTGCCAACACTTATCTTTTGTATTTTTGATAACGGTCATTCTAACATGTAGGGTGATACTTCATTGTGGCTTTAATTTGCATTTGTAGGTTCAGAATCCCTCTTAACAGAGAGCTTTAGAAAAGCTATCTGCTGCTGAGATGAAATTTAATTACAACCCATCATTTAATCAATATGTCTTGTCTTTTCATTCATCTTCAAGAGCAATTTCCTCTAACAGGATACCAAGTCTTTTTTCCATGGTAAGAGAGGCATATAACTTACTAGGACAAATCTGTGAGTGTATATAACAGTGGGTGATACCCTATGTTGTCTTGAGAACAGATTGTGCTCTGGGGAAGGGTGACCCAGCGCCTGAGTAAACTGGACCCGTGATGAGGAGACTCACCCAGAAAAGAGACTGGCAATGTCATTTCTCTTTTTTACCATGATTGCGCCATTTTGAGTAAATTCTATTTTGAGCAAAGTAATGAAAGGGAAACTTCTATAAAAGCAATGACATTTTGTAGAGAGTAAATAAATGTTTTTAATAAGAAAACATTTCCTTCAAATCCATATACAAAGCTGTCTTTGTTTAATTCAATAATGGTGGGAGCTGCTGAATAACACATTTATTTACTATTTCTCTTCTTTTGCAATATGCATCATTTTGCCAGTTAAAAGCAAAGATATATTTTGGATATAAGAAGATATCAGAATGAATGATCCCAAGGAACTACCCTTTAGAATCTATAGGATACTAACCAAATACTCAGTGATCTTGAGAAAATATGTATTCTGGCTCTTAGGTCAGTCTCAGGTGGGTCCTGGCTTCTGAGTTTCTAAGGAGCTACTAGGATGCTGTTGTTCAGAGACCTCATTTGAAATGCCTTCAACAATCTCTCTTCCCTTGTCCAGTTGTAAGAAAGATTTCAAAGTCAGTGCTGCTTGGAGTCCAGGAGACTCTGGGACAGTCATTCTGTGATGGGTATAGGAGTGAGTTAGAAAGCTGTAAATAACTCTAAATGGTCTGGGAAAGATTATAGGAATTTAAAAAAAAACTTAGATAAAGCACTCATTTATAGGGTAGGAAATAGCTTTGTAAATATAAAAGGCAAATAAATACCTTTAATGGAAAGAGAGACAGAGAAAGAGAGAGAAAGAGAGAGAGAGAGAGAGAGAGAGCGAGAGAGAGAGAGAGAGAGAGAGCCCTCTTACTTATCCAGTGTGTTTTATAGCAACACAAACTGGCACAACACTATAGAGCCTGTCCATGGATGGATTAAAATTGGTAGAATTTAGAATAAAGTCATATTTCTATGTATAACTTGATTTTGGTTTCCATAGACTTGCAGGACCTCATGTTGTTTAGAAAGCGAAGTAAAATTTTAAAATAAATAAAAAAGATAAAAGGATCCTGGGGATTGGGTAAGAAGATTAGGAAGAGAACAGAATCCTTAGCAACTCCACTTGTTAGGAACCTTTAAATCCCATTCCCTCATGAAAGAGTGTCTGCATAATTTATTCAATTTTTTTACCCCCAAATATATATGCATTGTTATGGAAATATGTTTGGCACTCACTACATACTGATGAATGAAAACAACCCCCAAAACCACAATTTGCTCCCTCACACAGTGAGTTTACAGGGTAACTCAAGGACAGATAGACAGTATTTTACGTAAACACAGAAACATATGCCGACTGCCTGTGTTAACAGCAGATCCCTTATTTTGTTGCTATGCTTTGTCTGCATTTCTTCCTCCTGCCTTTTAACCTTTCCTTTCGGGAGTAGGCCAAGGCCTCACAGGCAGATCCAGGGATTGGGAAAATAAATTGCCATTCACGACTGAGATGCAATACTAATCAACAGTAAAAATAAGCAATGGGCACTCCCATTACGGAGGAAGACTGTCAGAGATGTGCTGTTGAGATTAAAAGGCAGGTTATGAAATAGTTTGTATAAAAGAAACAGGCTCAGGTAGCACTGCTTGTCAGGACGAGTTGGTGTATTTATATGTATCATAAATCCTTGTTACAGATACACATGTGTACTTTTAGATGTAATTTGTTATACAACTCCAGGAAGCGTTCTATCTATACCCACATGTATACACTGTGTCCCAGTCCTCACCAACATTAACTAATAAACTTATGTTGAAGAATATAAAAGTTTAATGTCACACCTCCTTCAGATACTTACAAGAGTAACTGAGAACTTCAAGGCCTAATTCAGAAATTGTTGTGGATTTCTGAATCAGATCAATAAGAGAGATTTGGGGGGCAGGAAACGCCCTTTGCACCAATTAAATCACTTCCTATAATTGTCAACATAGGTGTCCAGCTCACAGGTGACTTTTAAAACTGAGTGGAGACACTGTGAGGAAACGCTGTCTTTACCTGACTGCCCAAATCAATTGCCTTATCTACTAGCAAGGGTTTAGTCGATGCACGGAAGAATAAACTTGGGAGTCATCTTAATGGAATGAACTCCTACAGGTAATTTTTTGGCATCAACTCAAATACTTTAGCTAAGAGAACTAATATTTAGCTTTTCCTGGTGACACCTTCTACACAGGTGGAAGGTTTATTAAGCGCTCAGTATCTGTGGAGTTGTGCATGTCTTTGTGAAGATCTCATACAGATTAGAAAGTCAAATTAGCAATACATATTTAATGCTGCTCTGTAGTTGCTTTTCTTTAAGTTGGCTGCAATGTTTACTCTTTGAGGGGGAGTTTATAATTATGCAAATTGAGAAATAGTCTGCCTAAGCCATAATGATAATGCCTTGGGTTTTATATCCAGAGTTGAAAGTATTTCTATGGACAATATTTCTTTAATCTTACCCATGACTTGAGGAGGGTTATACAGGGCTGGGAGTCTACTTTTTCAGCAGTGGTAGAGCATATGAGAGTTTGGAATTCAGCTACCTAGATAAGTTGCATTTTGAAAGAAACGCTGCTGAGATTTGCATATCACTGTGTAGCACACACTATTGATTTCCTTCACAATAAATATTCATCATGTTTTTCCTTTCTAATAAGTCTAATTTTGTTCACATAGTCACTTTTTTATATGCAACAATGGACATCAGGGGAGGCAGGTCTCATCCCTTTTCCTAAGTAGAGCTTAGAGTAAGTGTTTGGTTTAATCATGGTAGGTTAGGGTTAGGGTCCCATGTCACAGTACTTTGTCACAAAGGTTTGTGACACATTTTAGCAAATATATGTGAGTAGATGTTTGCTGAGGGACTTTTCAGATAAGGAGAGGTGGGAAAGAGATAACCTTCCAAACATATCAGAATTGAAGTCTTGGTAACATTATTGACCTACTCAGTAACCATTCATATAACTGCTCTACTGGAGGATTGCTTGTTACAAGAGTGAACAACTTTTTGAACATTATTATTTAAGCTACTTTCAGTGTCCATTTTCTGTTTCTTGCAGTCAAGAGTATATTTTAAGTGATATACACCTTAACAGCTCCTATGTTGAGTTACAGAATATACGTATACATAATACATATGTACTGTAATACAGAAAAAGTAATTCAGACACTTGGCATCTTTTTTTTTTTTTTGGTTTTTTTCGTTTTTATTGGTACCAGGGATCGAACTCATGACTGCCTGCTTGCAAGGCAGGCACTTATGCCGCAGAGCTAAATCCCCAGCCCGACACTTGGCATCTTATTTACCAGTGAAGTCAGTTGATATTTACAAGAAGGAATTACAGTTTAATATCTTGGCATTGGTAAGGAGTCCGTATCCTACAACCAATGAGTAACAAGAAATACTACTCACCATTCACAACCTTGTTTTTGTTGGAGTAAGAGTTACCAATCAGTCTTGATCCTTCTGTCAGAGCAAGCCTGAAAGACAAAAGAGAGACAATAAATACGAAGTGTAGCATCTCATTTTGGCATCAGGCAGAAATTAAGTATTTTTCTCTTTCCATTCCAGCTGATGATTCCAGCTTTAAATAAACTGCATAAGCCAGACTGGACATTTTCCCGGAAGCTGTTTCATGAAGAGGAGTTTATTCTAATCAGGGAATCAGGTCTACTATTTTATCTGCCACCATCCAGAATACAAATTATGTTCCCTTGAGCCCCAAAATGAATGCTTCATGCTCCATGGAATGCAAACTTGTCCAGCCACTCACTATATTTCGTGTTCTTTGCCACATTGACCGGTTTTGGTATGGGCCTGGGACTTGATTCAGGCCAATGAAAGTCGGCCTTGAAAATGTAGAGAAAGAAAAGTTCTCTTTCTACTGCACGGCATGTTGAGGGCAAATTCCTGGAAGCTGCTGGTAGGCAGCAGTGGTAGGGTAAGAGCAAGGAGCATCGAGACTGCAGTTCTGAGTGAAATGGTAGTCCTGACACCACTCAGGCCTCTAGATTCAGCTATGATTGAATGCTTGAACTTTTCAGTAGTGAGTCAACATATACCTTCATGCTCAAGTTATTTACTTTTTCTAAAGCCTGTTAGATTTTTGTCTCTCTCTTTCACAAATTCTCATCTATACAGGAGATAGGGCAAACATCTTAATTCTCACTTTGCAGAGTATGAAATGGAAGCTCAGGAAGGTTAGAGGGTGGAGGTCCAGGTCCCTAGCTGAAGGGTACCTTTCTACCAAATTCCTCTTTGCTGACTCATTACAGTAATACAAAGCACTGATGAATGAAATGCAGTCTTTGCTGACTTTAAAACATCACTCTCTTGGCAGAAAACAGAGCACTCTTCACAGAGATACGGAGAGAGATCATCTAAATTATTTTAACAAGGCAAAGATCATACAAACGCATGCATACACACTCACACTCACATACTAAAAGGATACACTCTCTGCTTTTGAACTGAGCAAGTCCCCCAGAGGGTCTGCTCTGCTGAAGCTGGCTTGGGTGACAGCCCTCGCTCCCCAGAGGACTGTTACCCTAAGCCTACAATCAGCTGTGGGTTCCTTAGTCCCACCCCTGACTCGGTGGTCTCCAGATCAGCCCTTTCTCTGCTGAATGGGGACTGGACTGATCACAAGCAAGCTCTTTACCCAGTGGACTTATTGGCCAGTGTCAATGAGTCTCTACTTAAACACTGAAAACATTCACATGAAAAGTTAGATTCCAGACCTTTTAAGAAAAGCTGAGGCCAGCTGCAACACTATCTGCATTCACCCATGGCAATGTTGGGTGAGTCTGAGCAGTGTCTGCATCCTTTAAATGGAGCACATTTCCTTCACTTTCCACGGTTCCCAGCTGGCTGCTTCTGGAGTTCCGCCACCTGCCTGGCTGCTGTAAGCATGTGTGCTTTCAGCCCCTGCCTCAATTTTCCTAGCATCTACTTGGGTTAACTCAATTGCAATGCCACTTTGGCCTCCAGTGGCTGTGTCTGGAAGCAGCTAGGTTCCCACCCCAGCCTCCAGTCCCTTCACAAAGAAAATGGCACTACTGTGAGGTTTGATTTTCTTATGTTTGCTGAATTCTCTGCAGAAGACAGTAATTCATTTAATTCAGAAAAAAAAGTTTAAAAATGCTCTTATGAATAATGAATCTGCTGTATGTCTTTCCAGGGGCAGGGACAGGAGAGAGACTTGTGGTATAATTAACTAGGCGATGGAGGGGACCACTCTGTGATCTTTTACAAGTTACTTTCTTCTGATGACTTCAGTTTCCCTGTGTATTAAATAAAGAAATTGTGTTATGTCAGAAGTTATAAACTGGTAATGCACAGGATACATCCAATAAATAATTGATCTATGCATGTATCTTTCTTCCTTTTGATTAGATGCAATAGCTTAAAAATATTTCAACTAATAATCCAGTTTACAGAGTTTTCAGAACTATCCAGCAACGATCAGTAATGGTCCAGAGTTCCTGAGTGGAAACAGTGGGGTTTGTGGCTCACTCCACTCCACCTCCACTTCACACAGCCTTGTCACTTGCCCTTGACTCCCCACGAACATCTGCTCTTACCACTAATTATGAGATGACCTCTGGAGACTCATTCCATGAGTTAAGTGTTAGAGATGACCTGGGGGAGAGAACAATATTCTGAGCAAAAATGACACTAGGTTGCCCCAGGAAACCTGACGAAATTGTATCTCCTCTTCACTTGGTCTAGAGTTGAAGCATCAAGATGTCCATACTTTTGCGAAGGGCCTACGACATGGTTAAATCTGAAAAGGCAATAGCCTGGCTTTGAAAATTGCAGAATGTTCTTCCGTTGGGGTTGCTAGCTGATTCTCTAAGTAATTTGCAATTCAAGTGTCTCTTTGTTTTGTATGAAAATTTGCTGCTATTTGGAAAGTGGGGAAGAGCTAAATTGCATCCTGCTGGTTTTACTTTGACTGTATCAAAAAAGAAACTGTTAATCTGGTTCCATAATTAACTTTCCTGTTCTAAAAAGGCCCTGGGAGAGAGTCCAGAGAGTGGCTGTCAGCTCCTTGTTTCTCTACTCAATAACTCCTTTCAAAAGGAGGCCCTGGAAGAAGAATGATTTCAGGTGGTTATTGGTTTTCACTTCCTTTTTTTGATTTTTCTTTTCCTTCATTCCCATCCAGCCAACCTTCAGTGAGTACCCACCATGGGTAATGCATTATGCTGACTAGTCAGGGGTGGAGAAATAATAAGTCCTTGTGGAGCTGCCAGTGCACATAACCAAGTTGAATTTTTATCTATGCATCTATGCATCCATCTATCCATCCGAAATGTGTTAGATTTCTATATTATGCCAGATACTGTGTAAGGCAGTTATGGGAAAATATGAAAATGACTTAATCAGTATTCAAGCATTCTATAGTGCAGGAATATCTTCTGGCTAGGGCTGTAAGAGTTGGTTTCATGGAAAAAATGACATTTAAATTGCCTTTGGTTCCTACGCCATTTGTGTGCATACATGTACTTACAGCTGGGCATGAAATGCTAGGGGTTTAGATCAGCTGACAGAAGCAGAAGGATACAGTAGGAATTAAATCTGAAGATCTAGAGGAGATCACTTTTGCAGGAGCAGAGGGTTTCCACTGATACTAAAAGGTAACTAATTTGAGCTCTAAACATTGTGCTAAACACTTTTTATCTATTATTTCAATGAAACCTCATAAAGCTAAATAGTAATCATTGAGTACAAGTTATGCACAGGAAATAGCAACAAGTAGGTTCCTGGGGGAACATGATGACAGAATAAAAGACAGGGAGGGGTCAGACCTGAATTGATGTCTGATTTCAAAGTGCAAGCTTTAACTACTAGGTAATTTTGTCCAGTGGTAATCAAAAAGTAATGCACTTGGGTTCCCCTCAACTAACCAGTCAATCTGTAATTTACTTATGCAAATATAGATACATTGAATATTCTGTGAAAAAAAGTACTGTGAGAGCTAGGGAAATAAAGGAAACAGCTATAGTAAACAAAGTTCCTTTCTCCTTGAAAGCTTACATTCCAAAAAGGCACAGTGAAACGCCTCCATTTCCCAAGCATACAGAGAGAAACCAGGAAGATGAAGCCAGAGCTGATATTTAGTTGAACACCTAGGCAGAAAAAGGACTACTAATTAGGATACTGTTCCTTAGATCCACCCAGATAATTTGGGTGGCACTCATTCCTTATTTTCTTCAAGGAGTATTTTTATCTCTTTTTTCCCTTCTCTCTGGAATTACTACCTTTGTTATGATTTTCCATTTCCCAAACCTACCCTCAACCTTAACCTGAGAGAATCTATGAGGAATTCGTACCTTGTAACCTACTTTACAAATCTCAGTAATTTTTCCAAAGTTGCTCAGACTCCTCTATGCTCTAGCCTTATAATTAGAGAAAGACCCTCATTTTAACCCTGATAAAACTACGTCTTCACCCCACACTTACCTGAGATAATTACTTTGAGCATTCATCAAATTAGGATTGAAACTAAGCCCTAGGAACCTCCGTGAGATGACTTTTTGGAGCTGGTATATCACACACACTATATATAAGGAATGAGCAAAGATACTACATTTTCCGAGTTACAATGGGGCAAGGTTCCTGACTGATCTGGGTAATATGTATGTATCTGGAGATAAGTTTTCCCTGGGTTATTCCACCTGTAAATTAGGAGGAAAGCTGAAACAATATTTTAAATTTACAAGAAAATAAGGATGCTGAGAGAATATCAGACTCTCTGACCAAAGTAAGAAAAATAATAGCTTTCCAAAGATATTATGCTTTAATTTCTGGCAACTGAATCTGTAACACATTGGAAATCTGCAGATGGAACTAAGGTTACAGACCCTGAGATAGAGATCCCAAGCTGGATGATCCAGGTGGGCACAATATGAGCACATGGGTCCTTAAATGTGGAAAAGGAAGGTGAAAGGGATCATCAGATGCCTGTGATGATGGAACCAGAGGAGAGATGTGAAGAATGACAACTACTTGACACATTTTGCTGGTCTGGAGATGGAGGAATGGACCATGACACAAGAGCCACTGAGAGCTGAGAACAGGCCTCAGCTAAAAACCAGCAAGGAAACAGGGTGCCTCAGTCCCACAGTGGCAGGGGCTGCATTCAGCCAGTAGCCTGAATGAGAGAGCCAGTGGGTTTTCCCTTATCACCTTCAGAAAGGAACACAGTTCTGCAACAACTTAATTCTAGACTCATGAGGCCCCTGTTGGTCAGCTGGGCACCTGGACTGCCCGCCTACCTTTCTTCCTTTTGTTTTGAAAAAAAATAACACACTTATTTTTTACATTTCAACACATTTATTGTAGTCTAATTTACACTCAGAAATTGTCCTCTGTTTTTCAGTTTTTACTTTTTATAAGTACATGTTTGCATTACATAATGGTTACGTTCCTTGTGAGGAATTGGTATCTGTGCATAACACTGGATTCTTTCTTA